TTCTCTAAGCTGGAGGTTGTTTGTTGTTGTAGCTTTGATCTAGGCGATCTATTTTGGTTGTTTCAAGCGCCCCATGCGAACATCTTGGGGAGGGGGGGGGGAGAGATGTTTGTATACATGTTCTGTGCTGATCCAGGTGTCTTTAGGGGTCCAAGGATTTTCCGTCAAATCACTGCCTGCTCATTAGTCCACTCACCCTAACGATGGCTAACGTTTCCTCTTAATAACGCCCATGCGCCTCTGCCGATATACTTCGCCAGTTATTTCCTTGATCACTTCGCTATCTTCTATGTTATGTTAGTGTTAATAACAAAAAAAGACGAGGGAGTTTGGAATGGCCATTTCTGACCTATTTGTCGTTATCAGTCAGCTATACCTAACCCCATGTCTGGATGACCTGCTGTTCAAATTCAGCCCCTTGTGTATTATGGCTTGACTTAGATCTGCCACTGCCAGTTGAGGAACAGCGAGCTAAGTCCATTTTGGCTGAAGTATACTTTAACACATATTCTTGCCTTGTGACCCAACCTTAGACGTCCTTTCTGAGCCTTCATTATGAAATAATTGGAACTTTAAATCTGATAAATGTTTTGTTACTTTGTACATTCGGCCTTATTCTAATGAATGTCCACTAAACCATTCTGTGCATAGATGAATCATTGTTATCTGCATTGGCGGAAGCTGACCGCATGCGCGAATCGGCTGTCGACCGACTGCTCTCAATCAAGCGTTCATTCTCTCCACGCGTCTATCTCTCCTTTCAGTTGACGGTAAGTCAGCCCTCTCACTTGTCCTTCTTACTCCACCCGCCCCGCTCTCCCTGGATAGTGAACATTTCTGCTCTTCTTTTCAGACTCCCGTGCTGCTGCTAGACGCACCGGACGATGAGATTTGGACCTCGCTGTCTGACGCCAAACACCTGTTTTCTACTAAGTCCGCACCTGATCCGTCTACAGAAGCAAGCTCCTCGCACACCGCTTCTTCTCTTGCTCCCCCTCCTGAGCTCCCCTCCCCGTCGGGCAGTCCGGGTGCATCATTTAAGATTCGACAGAC